TAGGGTATCATCGATATACACTCTTATAAAGGGCTCATTAGAAAAACAATGTGGTTATTATATTCACCCTTATTATCGAGTCCCCCCATACCCCATAGCAGTCACTGTCCATCAGTGTAGTAAGATGCCACAGAGTCACTATTTGTCTTCTCTGAGCTACAGTGTCTTCCCCGTGACCCCACACACACCATGTGCACCCACCAATCACGATACCCCACAATTCCCTTCTCCCTCCCTCCCCACCCACCCTTCCCTACCCCTCCCCTTTGGTAACCACTAGTCCCTTGGAGTCTGTGAGTCTGCTGCTGTTTTGTTCCTTCAGTTTTACTTCGTTGTTAACTCCACAAATGAGGGAAATCATTTGGTATTTGTCTTTCTCTGCCTGACTTATTTCACTGAGCATAATACCCTCTAGCTCCATCCATGTTGCTGCAAATGGATTTGTTTCTTTCTTATGGCTGAATAGTATTCCATTGTGTATATGTACCACATCTTCCTTTATCCATTCATCTACTAATGGACACTTAGGTTGCTTCCATTTCTTGGCTATGGTAAATAGTGCTGCGGTAAACATAGGGGTGCATATGTCTTTTTGAATCTGAGAAGTTTTATTCTTTGGGTAAATTCCTAGGAGTGGAATTCCCAGGTCAAATGGTATTTCTATTTTTAATTTTTTGAGGAACCTCCATATTGCATTCCACAATGGTTGAACTAGCTTACATTCCCACCAGCAGTGTAGGAGGGTTCCTCTTTCTCCGCATCCTCTCCAGCATTTGTTGTTCCTAGTCTTTTCTATGTTGGCCATCCTAACTGGTGTGAGGTGATATCTCATTGTGGTTTTAATTTGCATTTCCCTGATAATTAGTAATGTGGAGCATCTTTTCATGTGTCTGTTGGCCATCTGAATTTCTTCTTTGGAGAACTGTCTCTTCATATCCTCTGCCCATTTTTTAATAGGGTTATTTGCTTTTTGGGTGTTGAGATGTGTGAGTTCTTTAAATATTTTGGATGTTAACCCCTTGTCAGATATTTCATTTACAAATATATTCTCCCATACTGGAGGATGCCTATTTGTTCTGCTGATGGTGTCCTTTGCTGTACAGAAGCTTTTAGCTTGATGTAGTCCCATTTGTTCCTTTTTTATTTGTTTCCCTTGCCTGAGAAGATACATTCAGGAAAAAGTTGCTCATGTTTATATTCAAGAAATTTTTGCCTATGTTTTCTAATAAGAGTTTTATGGTTTCACCATTCAGATCTTTGATCCATTTTGAGTTTACTTTTGTATATGGGGTTAGACAATAATCCAGTTTCATTCTCTTGAATATAGCTGTCCAGTTTAGCCAACACCAGTTGTTGAAGAGGCTGTCATTTCCCCACTGTATATCCATAGCTCCTTTATCATATATTAATTGACCATATATGCTTGGGTTTATATCTGGGCTCTCTAGTCTGTTCCATTGGTCTGTGGATCTGTTCTTGTGCCAGTACCAAATACCAAATTGTCTTGATTACTAGGCTTTGTAGTAGAGCTTTAAGTCAGGGAGCATAATCCCTCCCCACCCCCCAACCACTTTATTCTTCCTTCTCAGGATTGCTTTGACTATTCGGGATCTTCTGTGGTTCCATATGGATTTTAGAACTATTTGCTCTAGTTCATTGAAGAATGCTGTTGGTATTTTGATAGGGATTGCTTTGAATCTCTGAATTGCTTTAGGCAGGATGGCCATTTTGACAATATTAATTCTTCCTATCCATGAACACAGGATGTGTTTCCATTTATTGGTATCTTCTTTAATTTCTCTCATGAGTGTCTCGTAGTTTTCAGAGTATAGGTCTTTCATTTTCTTGGTTAGGTTTATTCCTAGGTATTTTATTCTTTTTGATGCAATTGTGAATGGGATTGTTTTCCTGATTTCTCTTTCTGCTAGTTCATCGTTAGTGTATAGGAATGCCACAGATTTCTGTGTATTAATTTTGTATCCTGCAACTTTGCTGAATTCACATATTAGATCTAGTAGTTTTGGAGTGGACTCTTTAGGGTTTTTTATGTACAATATCATGTCATCTGCCAACAGGGACAATTTAACTTCTTCCTTGCCAATCTGGATGCCTTTTATTTCTTTGTGTTGTCTGGTTGCCGTGGAGAGGACCTCCAGAACTATGTTGAATAAAAGTGGGGAGAGTGGACATCCTTGTCTTGTTCCTGATCTTAATGGAAAAGCTTTCAGCTTCTTGCTGTTGAGTATAATGTTGGCTGTGGGTCTGTCATATATGGCCTTTATTATGTTGAGGTATTTGCCCTCTGTGTACCCATTTTGTTGAGAGTTTTTATCATGAATAGATGTTGACAGTTTTTTTTTTTAATGAATCATACATTTCATGTTCTGCCTAAGAACTGTTTACCAAGCTGTAGGTCCTGAAGATTTTCTCCTATGCTGTAATTTTATATTTTAAGTTTATTTTGTATAAGGTGTGAGGGTTAGGCCTAGATTCTTTTTTTTCTTTGCTTTTAGCTGTCCAGTTGCTCCAACACCATTTGTTGGGAAGGCTATTCTTTCTCTGTTTAATTGCTTTGGATGTTTACAAAAATCCATTGGCCGTACTTGGGTGGGACCATCTCTGGTTTCTCTGTGATGTTCCTGTGATCTGTGTGTTTCTTCTTCACCAGTCCCACACCATCTTTATTACTATACTTATATTAGTCTTGAAATTGGGTAGAATAATTCCTCCCACTTTATTTTTCCTACTTAAAATTGTTTTAGCTAATCTAGTACCTTTCCATATAAATCTTAGAATAATCATATCTTCATTCATAAAAGATCTTGTGGGGATTTTATAGAAGTTGTGTTAGACCATATATCAGTTTGGAAAGAACTGATATCGTTACTATGCTGCAGCTTCTAGTCCTTGAACAAGGTATGTCCCTCCATTTATTATATCTACTTTGATTTCTTTCATCAACATTTTGCATTTTTCTGTGTACAAGTCCTGTATGTATCTTGTTAGATTTATATCTAAGTTTTCTTTGTTTTAAGTGATTGTTAATAGTATTGCATTTTAAATTTGTTTCCACATGTTCATTACTAGTATTTGGAAGGACAGCTGACTCTGGGGGTGATTTTCTATCCAATGACCTTGTTGGACTCACTTGACTTCTAGGAGTGATTTTGGTAGATTCCTCAGGATTTCATACATAGGCCGTCATTTCATCTGCAGGTAGGTTCTGTTATTTTTCCTCTCTGATCTTCTACCTTGTATGTTCTCATCACGTCACCGCACTGGCTGGACGCCCACTACCTCATGGAACAGCAGTGATAAAAGTGGGCAGCCAGGTTCTTAATCTTGGAGTGAGAGCGTTCCTTCGTTCTGCATTAATTAGGATGTCAGCTGTAGGGTTTTTGTCAGTCTTCTTTATGAAGTTAAGGAAGTTCTCTCTTCCTAGTTTTCTGAGAGTTTTATCATGAAGGGGTGTTAATTTTTAAAATTCATATGTCTATTTCCCCAGCCAGATTCTGAGTTTCTGGAGATCAGACAGTGCTTCATACACACTTTGTTTCCACCCCCAATGCCTAGCTTGGTGCTTTGCCCCGAGTGAGCACTGAGCCCATGTCTGTGGGCCAGGAGGATGGGCCTGGTCCCTGCCGGTAAACGAGTGTGGACGCTAGGAGGCAGCTCGTGGGGACATCTCTGGCCTGCTAGGTCTGAAGGGAGGATTGGGGCTGATGTTTTTGGCCATGTTAGCATTCCACTCAATGGTTCAAGGCAGAAACAGTAGTTATGGGCCTCAAACTAATGCTACAACAGAGGCAGGAGAAGGCAGAATTGATTTATCTACCGCGCCAAGTGTTGGAAGTGAGGCTGTATAGGATAACTGCCAACCAAGAGCCACTGAGCTGCGGACTTTCAAAGGGGCAATTGTATGTCATGTGAGTTTATTCCAACAAAGCAGCTTTTTTTTTTTTTTAAATATGTGCCACGTGGGCAGTGAGGTCCTGGTGCTCTCTGCCCTAGGAGACAGGGAGCTGCTCTTATTGTTCCAGTCCTGCCAGCTAACTCCGAATTACTGAGGGCTTTCCAGACAGGGCCCCTGCTGCTCTGCTTCCCCCAGAACTGATGGTGCCGGAGAGTACTGGGAGCCACCGCGAGAAACTCAGAAACTACCCCATAGTGCCGTTTCGCTGACTTGGAAGCACAGCCTGGGGATTGTGGCCTGGACATCCTCACTACCGGCGAGACCATGTCACCCAGCCGGAGTTTCCATGGTTGGGATGCAGGCCCCACTGCTGTTCTATTTGGGGCTGTTTCTCCATCCCTTTAACCCTGGGAGGTAAGAAAGGGGCACAAAATACTAGCTTTATTTTTAACAGTGAGGAAATAAGCAATAGAATGAAAAATAGTTTCTCATCATCCCAGACAATGGTGGCATTAAATCTGGACGGTGACCCCTGCTCCTGTCCAGTTGGCAGGCAGCCCACGTGGGTTGTTGCATTTTAGCCTTTCCTGTCTTGTGACTGCAGACTGCCTGTGTTTGTGTTTTAACTCTCCCAGCCGCTGAGTTCAAGCTGGAACGAGCAACCTTCTGGAGCTGAGTTGCTGCCAGATCTCAGTGACAATCAGAGCAGTCGTTCCAGATAGCAGATAGCAGTTGTTTGAAAACACTGTCTCCTCCTGACGGTCACCATCCAGGATTGGTTTCGTCTCGCTGCGCTGTTGCCCCTCCGTGCTCGTTCCGTGATTTCTCTTCCAGGTCCTTCTCATATAAGTGATAGCAGGGCCAGCCCTGCCATGCAGGGAGTGTCCACACCTGTCGGGGTGCAGTCGGGGTGCCAGTAGCTAAGGAGTTGGTGCCATGACAGTGCAAACCAGTAGATGAATTCTGGTGGCAAATTTACTAGCTTGTGAGTCTGCTGCTCTGTGACAAACTATGTCATGTTGGGGTCCTGTGTTGTGGTTGGTCTCCAAGGCACCATCAAACCCTTTCTCTTTCTTTTATTTCCTAGGGCTCAAGGGTTCTCGTTGATGCACGGGACAAGCTTGGCATTCCTTGGCAGTATTCTGAAAATGAAAAGCATGGGATGTTCCTCATGGCCTTTGAGAACAAGGCAGGGCAGCCCGTGGAGCCCGCCACCTTCCAGTTGTACGTGCCTGCTCTGAGCGCTCTCTGGCGGGATTCGGGCATCAGGGAGGCCTTCAGCCGGAGGAGCGAGTTCCAGCTGGTGAGTGAGCCCTCTCTCTGGCCTGCATGCTCATGTGTCACAATTAGTTTTGACCATTAGTAGAATTTCCTTAAAAATTCAATGAAAGTACAGACAAGCTGTAAATTGCTGGAAATCCTAATATTCAACAATAAAAATACATATTGGGGACCAACTAAGGTATCTAAATGGAACATGCAAGAGGGAGCAAGATCAATTCAGTTAGGCTTGGTAAATGTTTTTGTTCTAGGAATACACAGGATTCTTAAGATTTTAAAGATTGGTGTAACTCAAGGAGCCCAAATATTTTTGGCTCCTTGCTATATGTGCTATAGGAGGAAATCAGTGCCTCCTTAAAACAACTTTCCCGCTTGTAATGCACGGAACCTGCCTGGCAAGCCATGTATGTCTTTAGTCTTCAGATCAGCACCTTGGAAGCTCATCTGAACTCCTCCACGTTGTTCCCTTGCTGTCCTTCCCTTCCATTTTAGGGTCTAAAAGTTTCAAAAAATTTAGTCATCTTCATCATTTAGATTAATTTAGGATCTGTGTCTATAAACAGCAAATCTGGGGTAGTTAGCCTGTTTGCATCTTGTTTTTTTCTGACTATCCTTTAACATAACTGTATTCAAAGAGAAGTGTCAGATTTCACCTCTAATTAGAAGAGATGTACCCAGCTGACACCCATGCATGCCCAGGGGATCCAGGAACACCACCTCCTCCTCACCCCTCTTCCCTGAGAACCAGGGCCCTGAGTCGTCAGCCCCTGGCCTTTCTGTATGGTCTTGCCATATTGTGTGTTTATTTTTAAATCATGGAGTCTTGAGTTTTCTCTGTTTTCAAACCTCATCTAAGTGGTTTCATACTGCATGTCTTCTTCTGTGACCTGTGTTTTGGAAGTTGATTCACGTACATGCGTTTCTGCGCTTCTTCCCCTGCTGCCGCCGCATGCCCCTCTGTAGTGTGACCGCACTGGCATTCAGGCATCCTCTTGCAGGCACACTTTGCAATGGTTGCCATGTTTACTTTTACAAACAAAACTGCTGTGGTCTCCCTCCTGTGTCTCCAGATGCACACATGCAGAGGTTTCCCTGGGACACACACTGTGGGGTCAGATTGCTCCTATTCCAGTTATTTTCCGAAATATCATACCAGCTATGCTTCTACCAGGAGTAGAAACAAGTGTCTCTTGCTCTTGTTCTTACTAGTATTTGGTGTCACCAGACTTTAAAATTTTTAATAGTGTGTCCTTACAGTTTAACTGACATTTCCCTGATTACATTAACTGGTTATATGTGTTTTCTTTTCTGGACAATGCCTGTTCATGTCTTCTGCCACTGTTTTCTGTAAGTGCTTTGTATTTTTCTAATTTATTTGAGGCTCTGCGTTGTCTGCAGGAATATCAGAAGCAACTAGAGAATACAAGTTAATATCTAAGTATGAAATTGGGGTTAAGTCTTTTTCTTAATAAGCTCATATGGTCTTGGAAAGAAGATTCCATGGTCCATTCTGAGCTTGTGTGGAAATTGCTGTTGATTGAGGAGGCACCAGAGAAGGAAACACAAGCACCCAGAGCTGGTTGTTTGCTAGTGTTCAGTGTGTTGCATCTAGGCCAGCGGTGTGTCAGGATAGTGTTGTCAGACTTCCATCCTTTGCCTCCCTCCAAGAGATGTAGCATTGCAGGGACCTCCAGGCTGCAGAGGTCAGGCCTTGTGTGGTTGCAGATATGGAAATAGGCCCAACCTTTCCAGAGAGGTTATGACTTGCTCACAGCCATCTTTTGAGGAATCACTATGAAGACCTTGGGCCAGAAAGGCCAGTCTGCATATTTCTCCCTACATTTGTTCATGCATGCATTAAACATTTGTGGAGCACCTCCTGTGTGCCAAGCACTGTGCATTGTGCTGGGGATGCAGAGTGAGACCAAAACTGAGCCTGTCCCTAGAGAGCTTCTCATGCAGCCCCCACCTGGCACATGCCCAGCACAAGGCTGCAACTTCCAACAGCTGGCTGTGCAGGTATGGCTGCCAGGCAGGTGTGCTCTTCCCACTAGTTGTGTATGTTAAAGGCAATGACTCAAAGCAGATAGGATACTGTTTACCTTGTTTACTTGGTAGTGTGTATATGAGTGTCTGCTGTTCCCATACTTTTATACTTCTCTGTATTTTTCTTTTTATTTTAGCAAATTATAGATAATTTTGCTAAAACAGCTTGACAGTAAACCTTTAACAGTCATAACTGTCAAGATATACAATGACAGCAACTGTAAAGAACAGAAGCATCTTAGCCCAGTGTGACAAGTGCTCCACAGCCTCCCCCATCTTCAGGAGGCTTCTCTTTGCTATAAATTTCTTCTCAGTGTCAAAAACCTTTCCAGGACAATGTCTCAACAACTTACATTTTGCCTTTCCTCTCCAGGTGACGGGGCTGGAGCCTTTGACCGTCAGTGGTGAGGACCAGCCCCTTGGAGGGCTGCTGTCGCCAGATGTCAGGGTTTTCCTATCTCCTGTGCCCACTCAGTTTTCCTCGTCATCCAGGCATAGGCAGAAACAGAGAGGAATAAGGGCATGTCTGGTGGCTGCCTTCTGGGGGACAGGGTTGGTCTGTGGAGCAGGAGGGGACCATTCCTGTGTGTTCAGTGATGGCCACTGCTCTTTAGACAGAGGATTTGATACAACCTCTGTGGCTTTAAAAAAAGGAGGAAAATTAGCCTTGCTTTGATAGATTTTATCTTTTGAAACACATTTAAGTGAGACATAGCAAGACACTAATAGAGGTTTCCTCATAGGTATAACCAATATAAATATTGCCAACTTATATGACCTTTTCCTAATAAAAGAGAATTTTGAATTTTTTAAACACATTTTGCAAATTGTCATGAACTGATGTAATTATAGCACAGCATGTTGATAATATTACCATGATTTATCTGCTATTACTTCTTTTGAGTGTCTAGTTAAATAGCCTTTTACACACAAGTGTATCAGTTGTATTTTGTGTATAACTCCAGCACTGATGGGGACCGTGAATTTGCACATCATTGTCCGCCATGCTGGGCAGTGTGGTGAGCATTGTCTCACTGAGCCTTTTCTGTGGACCAGGCTCTATGCTGAGGTTAAGTCCAGTTTCCTCAAAAAGCTGGTAAGACAGACACAATGCCAACAAATAACTGCAAAAAAAAGGTGAAGAAGTATGTTTGAGGAGTATACAGGCTACGTTAGGCATACAGGGAAAGTAGGCAACTCTACCTGGCCAGTAGGGGTCAGGGAGGTGCTTTAGGAGATTTGTGATGATGAGGTAGGCATGGAACAGGGGGCAGTGGGGAATGAAGTACACAGGGAACAAAAGAGGTTCGAGTTTGCGAGGCACCAGGGGCCACAGGAGCTCCCTACTTGGAGGGCAGGCAGGCACGCTGAGGCCCTGCATCAGTTGAGCGGCTTGCACATGCGAGTAACGGAAGTCCCAACTCAGACCAGCCTGACTGGAAAGGGACCTAACCGTCCGGGGATGGAGGCTGAGGCAGGCACTCTGCCCATTTCTCTGTGCCAGCTTGGCTGTGGTCAGACCCACCCTGTGGTGGTCTCACCACCAAAGGAGCAGCAGGGCTGTGCAGTTGCCAGGGCCACTTAGACCCATATTAGTGCCCCATCTCTGGCCTGTCCACTGTGGAGAGGGGCATTCGGCTGGCCCCGGACAGGGTGTGCATGCCGCAGGCTGCTCAGTGGTGGGGGTGGAGGGGCCATATAGGCCATGGGGCAGCATGGAATTACCTGTAAGCAGAGGAGCCACTGAGGTATTTAAAGCAGAAAATTGCAGTTCTGATGTGCAGTTTTTCCAGAAATCACCATCAACAATGCAAAGGTGGAAGGAAGGGAGATGAGATTGCAAACCAAGGCCGCGTGGTGGGCTCCTGTACAAGTTCTGGTTAAGAGGCTGAGAACTTGAACCAGGGCAGGTTCTCAGGGCTTACGATTTACTGGTACCAGTTTCTTCCCCATTGATCACTGGCATGACTCTTTGTTTGTCATCTAGTTACTGTCCTCTGCATGATCAGTCTTCTATCCAAACATGCCATGTGAGCAGGGACATAGTAAGTCAAGAATCACCTGAGTAAATGGAGCCATTTGTTGCTTTGCATGATGTACTCCGGAAATTATGGCCAATCAGCTGAATTTAGTGACTTGTTCCTCTTGGTTAGGTGTGTGTCTTCTTGCTCAGAGGACTGGGTACCTGGGACACAGAGTCCTCAGGCCCGGGGACCACGCCTTTGTGGGTCAGGTGCTGGGGAGACCTGGCACACGTGGATTGCTGCAGGTGGTTCTTCCTCTCCTCAGATACTCTTCACCTCACTTCTTGGATGTTGACAAAATTCACTGAATTGGGAGTCATTTTTTATGTCCTTGGAGTTACTTGAGTGGCAGGGCATCGTGCTGCACCCTTTCTGCTTTGGAAGACGCAGGTGGAGGCTCGGTTGAGAGGAGGAGTTTTCTGTTGATGGCACAGTGTTCCCTGGTTCACAGGAGTCAGGTAGCTCTGCTATTAGAGGCATTTGTCTTCCTGTCACGCAAGCAGGAATCAGGTCTCCATGGCCTTGCAGAGGCTGCTAGGAGAGGCTGTGGCATGGGCTAAGTGTTAGGTGTGGAGGAAAATCATCCCCTGTGGTTGTGTGTGTGTGTGGATGCTGCCAGACCAAGTGAGTTTCAAGAGGAAAATTACCTTCTGGCTTAGCGACATGCTAACTATAAAGAGTAACTGGACTGGCCAGCCTTGCTCCAAACCAAAATCCCCGTCTGTCATTAGGCGTGCTCAGTGTTTGTGACGTCTGGGCTTCAGGATTGCTGAGGTCTACACACTAGCTCCATAGGCACAACTGCCTCGCCCCTCTGTTCCTTGTCAGGGGATGTGTGCTTTTTAAGGGCCTTGGAAACGTATTTACATGTTTTCAGGCTTGGGATGGATTTTGGGAAAGCTCCAGGACACGGTCATGCCCCAGATTCCCTCTCCATTCCTGAAACAGAATC